GTGTGGGGGACCAAGCAGACCCTTTTCAGCAGGAAAAGAGGCTCAAGCATTTTGGACAGTCTCAGGCAAGACAATCAGTATAAAGGTGGTTTAGCAAAGACATGATACCTCTAGGTATAAAAATTAGCACAGCTCTGAGTGTCTACAACAACTTTTTTATAGATATCTTGAAGGTCTAAGCATTTTTCAATGTGTATGATGCAAATTATGGCTGAGTTTTGTGGACTGCTTTTAGCAAGTTAAGGGAAGGAATTGTGGCGTTTTTGACTTTATTTTGTCTTCTTGTTGAGAATTTTTGAAGCTACATGAATTATGGTCTGTGAAACAGTCATGGTGAGGTAATTAATATTTTCACCGAGGCTTTAAAATACAGGAGGAACGAAACACTTCAGCATGGAAAATGCACTTCTGGTCTGGCATTGGCATTTACTGGAGCTCAGAGGAATACTTTCTAAGGAAAAAAACCCCTAAACCTCTTACTATTTGTGTGAGTAATATAAAGATTACTAACTCTCTTGATGAACTGTCCCATTGTGAACTGAGATTAAATGCCTCACTTCATATTTTCCTGGTGATTCAACTGTGAGGATTTTGACTCTTCATTACTAATTTCCCTTAAAGAATAATTTAAAACTATTAAACCTCAATGAATTTGAGGTTGGATTCAGTACAAATGACTATGTTTAGAATTAAATACAACAATTCAATGATAAAGAACTAATTTTACAACAGTGTTGTATTTTGTGATGATGTTATTTCAATGTATATACAAAAATATGGCTGAATATTTCCCTATTTTCTTCTATGCTCTGCTTGTACTTCTTAAAGACCTACTGGAATCTTGTAATAATCTTTATGTTTAATCTCATAACAATCTTTGTGTTTAATTTTGCATATATTGAGAATTGAGAGAAGAAGAGTTTGAGGGAATTAATGTGAGTCACCTGTCCACCAGAATCACTCCTATAAAGCATTCTTCCTAGAGGGCACTGAAATTTCTGTGTGTTTCCAAGCTGCAGTTTGTCTTAGACAAGCTTATTTCAATGCATTTCATTCTATGGTTCCCTCCAAATGCTTTGTACACAGTACCTAAATTTGTTTTATCATTTAGAAACTCTTGCTGGCAAGTAATTTCAAGTGATTCTGCTCATGATCCACGGCAGTGTTATAACAGATTGATGTGTGATGGTGTCTTGGATTCCTGGTGGAACAACAACATTTAGGATATCAACCTGCATACACAGAGAGTACTGGGAGGATAATTGTATTTGGTTTAACAACACTAATTTATTGAGCAAGCTCATTATCTGGCCCATAATTTACAACCTGAGTTTAATGTGTCCCTCTCTCTCTTCCTCTCTCTTGCACCATATTTTTCTCCTTCTCATCCCATCATCCCTGCCCTCTCTCTGTCTGTCTCCCTGTGGAATCATGGACAAGTAGCAGAAGCCTGACCATTTTCGCTACAGTTTGTAAGATGACTGCATGTAAATAACACTCCCTCAGCTCTGCACCATCATCAGTGACTTTGAGGCCTCTGTGCCATGTATTGTCCTTGGGACAGAGTCACTGAGATGACACAGCACTCTCATCAATCTGGGCCACCTAAAAAAAGGGCAGCTCCTCAGTGACTAAGCTCTAATTGTGCTTTGCTCCCCATAAGGGGTGCTTAGCTGTGTTAGGGCCAGCAAAAGCTCCCTGTGCACTACTTACAGTCTCAAAATAGAGCTTGTGCTGCACAGAAGTGGCTCCAAAGCCTTATTCTGGCCCCCTGTGCTGGGATGATGCTGCGCAGCACGCGTGCAATGACTGCATCCTGATGAGGAGTGCTGTCATCTGATGCTAAATGACAAGGGTGCAAACCAAACACAGGAAGGTCTTTGCTTGCTGCAACAGCTGCTCCCACTGCTAATTGATGCTGTGTATCTGTGGCATCATCCCAGTGCTTATTTTAGGCTGTTTCCAGCTGTGAAGGTTTTTGTCTCACAGCTAGTGGTATCTGTGCAGCTGGCAGAGGGAGGTAAAAATAAGCACAACTAATTCAGCAAAGCAATGAGAAAAATGCACAGAAAAATGTAAAAATAATATAAGTCAAGGTTATTTCAGAGGAACATCTGAGTCTGAGTGGAGAGTGACTGATCTGGCATGGAAAAGGGTTGATCACCTGCCTGTGACTATCAAGAAAAGTGGAAGATTTTAAGGTGAATTTGGGACTTATTAAATTTGTTGAATGGCAAAATTTTCCAAAGACCAAGCTCTGATGGCACTATTGTCAGTTCCTCTACAATGGCCTACATATTTGCTTAAACATTTACTGTGAGGGAGGCATTTTGAAGAATGAGAATATATTTATTCATATATTATTTTCATGAACTCCTTGCCTCTTTCCTGAGTAACAGTTAAGCAACTACTGCTAATTAGAGGCCTTTCCCCTGCCTTTTAATTTGGATAATTAACCTTAAGAAATAAAATTTATACTTTTTACTCAAATAATTTATATTATTTGATATTTATATCAAACTCCCTTCTACCCTTTCCCCACCTCTTTTCCAGTAACACCCAAGCTAAAACAACATTAAGGATGGCTGCAAAGAAAACAGCAAACATATGAGACCCATACCACCTACTGCCCCTACTTGCAGAGTAAGACAAAACCAAGTGATCTGCAGGTTTGTCCCACAGTTGAATATTTAACCTGTTTGAAATCAGCCTGTATACAGGCAACTTCAGAGGAAAACTATCAAAGTGGATTTTACTAATTCTTTATAATGTTTAGATGTTCTGACTGTTGTAGGAACCTTGGCACTGGAAAATTGTCATGAAAAGAGAAAATCTGATGCACAAAAAGCCTACTCCCTGGATATTCAGTTTATGTGCTTCTAATTATCCTACCAGCTTGTCGAAACAGCTATAAATATGTGTAACCACTATTATTTTAGACCTCATTAAACATCTGAATGTGTGTAGTTCTGGAAATTTGTCTTGAACTTTAGTGGCAAGAAACATAAATACTTACACAGTTATTCCAAATATAAGTTTCCTGGTTTAAGTTTCAGTTAAATCTAGGGAGTTCTCCTCCTTAAAACAGAATTTGACTGATTTTATTTCAGTGAGTTTTTCTAGAAATATTTGCATTTTTAAAAAATGCTTGTAGTTGTCAATTGTTTTGTGAAAAATGTAGATCATATGTTTGTTAATGCCAAAACCATTATGTAGTTTCATTAACTTAGGAAATGAATTCTAATTTTCCAGAGGGAAATATATCAACTGAAGTTTTGCCTCAGAGTTATGGATATACCACCACAAGCACTACATTGGTTTCATGGGTGGGGAGCCTGCTTTATCAGTGCCAGATCATAGCCTGAAAATGCTGACCTCTGCTCATTTTAAATATGTAACAAATTTCTCCTTGCCAGAACTCAGGAAACTGGCATTCCCAGGTCAGTCACATTACCTAGAATGCAAATATGTTCTACTTACAGTAGCAAGACATGAACTAACAGAAAGGAAAAATAAATGAACTTTACTTGATTTTATCAAGTAGCTTTACTTGATAATCTTGCTCAGCTGTTCTATTTACAATATCATTAAGTGTTTTCTTAATGCATTCTGATCTATTTCATAAGGAGAAATGCTACCTGGAAACATAGAAACAAACATTGCAACAGAAAAGAAGCAAGTTCCTAAAACAATATTTAGTTAATCTGCAATAACAGAGAAGTCCCTACTTGATCTCTTTGTTTCAGGACATCCATTTCCTAAAGTTTCCTGTAAGTTTGGATATCTCCAGTGGTGTAGAGATATATTAATATAGGTATATGGCAGTGGAATATTATATTAAATCATATCTCTTTATATAGGCAGTTTGTCCAGCATCACCACATTTATATTGAAGCATTTAATATAAAAATTGATAATTGATATTGATTAATATATTGATAAGTTTAATAAAATATTTTAAAGTAGCTATAATTCATTTAAGTTTAATATTCCACCACAGTGGAATAGTATTAAGTAGGAAAGAAATTTGTCACCCTACACTCAAAGGAACACATTAATGCTCTTCTTTAGGAGCAGCTCAATTACAGATATGTGAGTAAATTAGGAGAAGTTTTGTATTTGCTCTTACCTCATATTCAAACATCTTCAGTATTTTACCAAAACCATCCTTTTTATTTTTACAGAAAAGTATGAGTGAAGCTTATTATAAATGGATTTACACTCAATGAGCCCTGGCTGGTAATGGGACTTCTTCTCTTGGGAAAAGAGTGTCCAGTGGTTAAACTTTCAAAGACATCTATTAAAAAACTTGTTCAGACCATTATTTTGAAATGTGTGCATTTAAAAAAAACCTAGACAATGTCCTTCTACCTGTGAACAAAGCTTTCCAGAATATTTTGCACAGCCAGAGGATAGATGACATTTGTCCAGTGCTAGAGGAGGTTTTGACATTAATGCTGCTGAGACCAGGATTTTATTCCGTGAGTTTGCATTTTGCTTTAGGGTGGGGCTGTGGAGTTGATAACTCACACAAGGATGCAGCTCCTGTAAAGGTCACTTGCAGCCTGCCAGCTGCTGTTTTGCAGCCTGTGAGAAACACCAGTGCCACTACAACCAGAAAAGCACCAAAGTGTAATTTACACAATTCCTTAAACTCTAACTTCTCTTCACAGCATTGCTCCAAGTTCTGTATCTGATGAGGCTGCATCTCAGCAGCTTAAGCCCAATACCCAAAATAAAACAGGGAGATAATCCCAATTTTTGCCCACAAGCCTGAAATTGTTGCAGTGGGATGAGTGCTGCTGAAACATTCACTGCTGAAACACTATCCTTACTGCATCCCATCTCAAATAAAATCACTCAGAATGATTTCCATGAATGTCCTACCTAAAGGGAGAGCGACCCAGGGAGACAAAAGCCTGAGAGTTGAGGAGAAGAAAAACTTCCTTGGATAAATAAGAATCAATGATTTTTTAGATTTTTTTCTATATTTTCTCCAGAACATCCCATTCCTTTTATCAAGCCACCTAGGTAGATTCTTGAATCCACCTCCTGGAAAGGAGGCATAAACCTGCTGCCTGAGCTGTCTTAAGAGCTTGATCAAGCAGTGAGGTAAGTGCCTTTTACTACATGGAAACTAGAAGGTCAGAAGGGGAAAAAGTACTGACAAGATGGTGATTATGAGCATTAATCATAATAATATCAAGGTCTTATATAGCACTTTTCATCAGGAGATTTTAAAGCACTGTAAAAAAGAAATGAGTCTCATTATGTCCATATTTTAGATCTGAAATGTGACCTCCAGTACATTAGGACTTGTTCTCTGAAGGGTAAAAAAAAGACTTCTAGAATCAACAATACTTATTCTTTGCTAAATTTCTAATCAACACAGTGAATTTTTTTAAAATCTACTTTTTCTATGGACGTGTATGGGAATTTTAATTGCTTTACTTTAACTTGATATAGAACTAATGAATAAATATAATTTTTATCAGGATGCTGCCATCAGCTGATTCAACCAGTACATTGACATTTGCAGGACAAATTCAGAAAATTCTGTTAAGACATTCAATGATGTTGCTGGTTATTGCTTCATTTGCTGGGGATTGGTAACTGGATATCTGCATGTTGCAATGCACAGTGAAATGTATCAGCTTAAACACCTCCAGTCAGCCTTCAGGAAGCAATGAATTCAGAAAGTCAGCATTTCCTAGGATTCCTAGGACTGCTGCCAGCTTCTGAGCAGTGGCCCCAGGCCACCTTTCCCCTTGGTCTGTGATGCCCTATGATATGGAATATCTCTTTGGTCATTTTGGGTCTGCTGTCCTGGCTGTGTCTTCTCTCAGTTTCTTGTGTCCCCGCAGCTGACTCGCTGCTGGGGAGGTGTGAGAAGCTGAGAAGTCCTTGAGTCAGCATAAACACTGCTTAGCAACAGCCAAAACAGTGTGTTATCAATATTATTTTCATCCTAAATACAAAAAACACAGTACTGTACTACTAGCTACTAGGAAAAAAATTAACTCTGTGCCATCTGAAACCTGCACAGCAAGGCAAATGGGGCACTGCCATTGTGGTACCTTTTGGTTTGGTTAATAAAATAGCAATACAATAGTTAATAAAATAGCAATACAATAGTTAATAAAATAGGTAAGACTTGCATTACTGAGGAGAGCAGGGATGTCCTCCAGGTGGGCGAGTCAGAAATGACGGAGCTGCAATTCTTATCTTGAAATCTTTTTGTTGCCTAAGTAACTATGAAAATAAATGCTGAACATTCACGTGATGTCCCGGAAATTCTGGCCTTCAGAGGAAGGTTTGAAGAAAATGCTGATTTCATCAGGAGCACATACCCACAGATTTCATGCTGTTATTCTCCCTCAAGGGCCACAGTTCCGTATTCTATGGTAGGAAAGTGTCTCTAAAGAGACATGAATCACAGCCTGGTACATCAGTGTGACTAAAGAGTGATGTCAGATTTCCTGCTTGAATGTAAATGCACAACACTGAGGGCAGCTCCCTGCTTTAACTGCTGAGGGTGGACACTTACCCTTATGGAGGCTGGCACTTCCCTGCTGAGCCCATCCTCTCTGGGCACTCCCTGAAGGATGACAGATATGGCATCTCTTCTCATCTTACCTGTAGCTCACTCTTTTTGTTCTCTTTCAGCTGGCAAAATGCCTCTGCTATTCCTTCTACTCTCATGCTTGTCCCTTGGGAAGGTAAGCTCTGAGGACAGATGTTGCTTTCTCCTTTTATTACTATTGCACCTCTTTGCAGAGTCTAATGATACACCACAAGTTACAGTTCATAAGTGGACACATGAAAATATTATAGCTGCATTGTCTCCATGCCATCAACATAAGCACACCAGTATTGACTTTGCCCCCATTTCATTTGTGCTATCTTACAGTGAAACTGTGAGAATTAACAGCTGTGAATATTGAACAGCCACTTTTCCAACATCCTGGGCATTAGGTCAGAATGCCCTGGTGTCTTAATCAGTTTGGTGTGCCTCCCCTTTTCTTTTCTGATCTGAATGGCCATTACAGGGTAAGTAAGTACTCTGCTTTGTCACTGTCCCAGTACAGCAAATTATGCTTTTGTTATGCATCACATTGCTAATTTTTGTGAATGGATAACATTGATTAAAATCTATTTAGCAAGAAACAATTTAAGAATGCAGTAAGCTTATTTTGGAGGGACTTTACTTTTTCTTATCCTGATCACCAGATAAAATATGTTAAAGAATATTAATTCTGCTGTGATGTAATACTTTGACAAGATGTTGAAATCCTTGCATCTAAGACAGCTATACAGCTGTACAGCTATATTTGTAACAGTGAAATAAAAATTAACATGGGCTCAGGGTATTTGGTCTCAAGGCCAGGATATTCACCTTCTAGACTGATTTTCTGTTTGCTAAACCCATTTAATTACAGATTTAAAATACTGAAGAAATGTGCAGTACATGTGCATCTCAGGTAACTCTGGGAAAAAATAGTTTAACATTTTCAAATCTGAAAACGAAAGTCAGGCTCTTTCAGACAAGTAGATTTGGAAATCTCCCTCACATTCCCACAGAAATCCTTCCTGGACCTGGTCAAGACATATTTAACTTGGTGATATATAGGCTGAAGATGTTAAAGGAAGTTATTGAAGCAACTGTAACTAATGCCACAGCAGGCTGTAAGCAGAAGAGAAAAAAATAAAATTGTTAGTACATGGGTTGGAATTTCTGTTAAAAATTACCTTTTAAATGACTGTAATAGCTAGCTAAAATTTGGAAAAGAAAACGCCATGAGAAACTCAGTCTGAGTGTCCTGCAGCATCCAGAATGCTTTTCTACTACTTCTCCCTTTATTTACCAAATATGCAAATTGACAATAAGTGCTATATTTTCTTCCAAAAGTGTTTTAAAAAATTCCTTTTTAAGAAAAAAATTATCAGAAATAAGTATATTTCTTCAAAATGTACTGGTGTGCAATAAAGATTTCCTGTTCTTTTTTCATTCCTGGTCATTCTAGGGTTCCCCGTCCCTCTCAGCAGACAACAGACTGGGAAAATGCCTGATTGATTTTGTAATGTTTGGGAAAACCAGGTAGATTGCTCTTCTGTGGCTGAAGACATGCAATGCAAGTTTTCACACCACTAAAATCTCCTTCTGACAGTCAATCCTCTTCCTGAGGCTGTGCCTGAGCACCCCAGTTAATTCACTCCAGTTGATACTATCAGCTATTTTACCTTTCTGCATCTTCTCTCCAGTTGTAATCAGCTGCTTTGCAATCATTTGTTTCAAAGTGAAATTGATGTAACATTTTTTTCTTTATTACCATTTATTTTCTTGTCACTGTGTGCTGCCATTCCAAATACCAGTGAAATGCATGCCAGGGCCACAGAGGTATTTTGGTGGTTCTTCAGAAGAGGAAAGATGATGGTAGGCATTGGAAAATATTTTATTGTAAGCCTTACTAAAAACATTTGCAAACTAAACCAAATAACAGAAGCTTACCATGTTGCACAGCTGACCATTGAATGTGAAAATGTGAATAAAATTGTTTTGAAAACTCCAGTTCACAGAAAGAATGGGATGTAGTTTAGAAATTCTCAGGGAAAAACTGTAGAGGGTTTCTCCATACTCCAGCTGCGCTGAGAAACATTGTGTGGTGAAGGGGTTAAAGCAGAGCAGGCAGCCCTACCACAACAGGGATCTTTTGTCACATAAAAGCAAAAGCATTACACTGCTATATTTAAAGGGCTTATATGGAGGACCAAGACATCCCATCATCTTAGGTTCTGTGGAAGAATGGGATAGAACCTGAAATAGAAAGCAGTCTTATATATGGGGGACTTGACAAGTTTGTTTCTGTGTTATTCAGTCAATTTTTGCTGTCATTCTCCAGCCTAGCTCTTGAATCCATTCAACCTCTAATAGCATGAGAGACTCTTTATTCACTGAGGAGGTGTTGATTAATCAAATTATGCAAGGAGTTGTCTGAATTTTCTTCTTAGAATTCAAATACTCCAATGCAATTATTCTGTGAAAAATTTGCACATTTTCACTGGCACTGATCACTGCTGTGGCTGATGTGCTCTGATAAAGTCCAGTGTTTCTGGGAATATACTTGGGTCTAAAGTACCAGCTTTTCTAATGGTCAATAAGGACTTGAAATCTCATAGTCCTCACACCAAGATTTTTTTGAGAATTATCAGACTATCAGTAGCAGTCTAGGAAAAGAGCTAGCCAAAAATGGGGGATTTCCACTCCATAAGCAATTCAGATGTTTTGAAATTTGTTTTTGTATCTAACACTCTTATACTAAATGAAAAATGACAGTTGTTTCTTTTGGATTAAACATTACCCTATATATTTGCAAAGTTTTCAGGTGCTCTTGCTCTGTATACCTTGACTGGCTGTGCTGCTCACACAGCTGGGCTCCACTGGACATCTCCAGAGAAATGCATCCCAGCTGGTTGGAAGTCCCCTCCCTCTCTGAAGGGATGCAGGAGCTACAAGCACGTGCCCATCCTTCCTCTGGAGCACAGTGGTAACTGGGACAGAGCCATAGATGCCTATTGGATGTGAAACACAATGTTTGTTTAGGAAGAAACAAAAAAAGAACCTGTATATTTTGACTGGAACCATTCTGAGCCTCAGAGAAATCCCTTCTAGTGGAAAACCAAGAATGACAACAGGATTGAAGCAATTAGGCTAATTCCAGTTCTGCAAAACAGATATTTTCAAAGAGAATAGTTAATACAGGGAAAGATCTGGGCAGATCTTCTTTGATGTCCTAATGACATGACATATCTAAACTTTTTAAAAGAATGGAATGTTTTCCCAAAAACAGGTGGGCTTTTTGTTCTATAAAAAGTCCCATAGTCCTGAGAGGTGAAAAGCAACAGAGAACAGTAAAACAGAAACCAAGGAGAATCAGAGATTAAAATTTTATAGTAAGTTTATACACAATGCAGGTATATGCAGAGAACACCCAAATACACCAGGAACAGAATGAATCTCTTCCTTTAAAGTTTAAACTAAAGGCCACAAGAATCCCAACTGGACTTTGTCTCAGGCAAAACTGACACTATAGCTCTCAAGAATGGTAAGTAATTTGAGTGTATGTATACATCTCTCTCTCTCTCTCAATATATCTCCAAATACACTAAGTAACATTCAGAAGATGGAAAGAGAGAGACACTGCAAACATATATATGAAGAGTTTGCCTACTATAGGTGGAATTTAAAGTTATATTTGTTTGACTTGGTAAATGTGATCTTTCTCTTTAAGTTCATCCTTAAATTTTAAAGCATAATTTGTTTTGATTGAATTTCTAATGTTAATTAGTGAGGCTTGCACTGTTAAAGACATCAAGAACATATAATTATGTTCCTTATAATTATACCATAATTGTTTTAGTACGTTAAATGATCTAATAGATTTTTTCCTGTTTCAACAGCAGCATTACTACCATCTCTGTTTTATGAGATAACTGGCAAGCATTCAGTAGGTGCTTTCAAGCATTTCAAGTAAAGTTTTTATGGGTATTCATCTACTAATGAAATATTCATGCATTATATTTTTCTCTATGACAAGTGACTTTCACTGAAGCGCCTAATGCTTGGTTTGCTTAGACAGATATAACATTCAATCAAACTAATGGAAACTGTGGAGTACTGTTATACTGGTTATTACTAAATCAAATTCTCTTGATAAATATTGAGTCTCTGATGTTAAAAAGCATTTCTAGCATGATGCATGGATAGTAAAGCAATAATCTGGCCCCTTGTTAAAAATGTTAATATTACAGCTGTCATCATTTAACAATTAACATGATTTCCCAAGTGGAGCAATGCCTCAATCTTAGAGTATTAAAAAATACAATCTGTATGTTGTTTGAGATTTTACATCTTGTGCATGCATTCACTCCCAATGCAGAACACTTGGGCAAGTTTATATTACCAGCAAAATATGTATACATTCTCTGCTTAAAATTTTACATTTCCTTCAAGTATCATTACTTTCACCCACATCAATATGAAGAAATCAATTTTGGTAATTCATAGGCAGGATGCTAATGATCCTCTTACAAAACAGTTGGTAAAGGCCTTTAGAGAATTGTCTGGGCATACTGATGTTTTTCCTATTTGCTGCCTGGTTGCTAAATCTCATTAAATGAATCTAAAATAAATAAAATGTTTTCCCACAATACTTTTCCACATGTGTTCTTTTGACAGTTTTTGCAAGAAACACAGGGTACAAATGTGAAGGAGTTGACAAAGCAATGAATGAGATGAATGCTTCATGCTAGGTTTTTAATTTATTAAATAAAGTTCAGAGGTCAATATTATGCTTAACTGTAGCACTTCTGCATATATAGGGAAGTTGTGACTCCATCAACTTAATATATCCGTAGTCAACATGACCCCATGGAGGAGGGGGAGGCCACAGAGATGACCAGAAGGATTGAGCAAATCTCAAGAGGTGCTGAAGAGAGGCTGAGACAGTTGGCATTGTTCAGCCAGAGCAGAGAAGGCTCCATGGACCCCTCCCAGAGAGCAGGAGAGAGGCTTTTTGCAAGGACACACAGTGGTTGGACAAGGGGGTAATGGCTTTAAACCAAAAGAGGGTAGATTTAGATTAGATGTTAGGAACTGGATATAAGATGCTAGAACAGGTCACACAGAGAACCCCATCCCTGTAAGTGCTCAAGGCCAGCTTGGATGGGGCCCTGAGGAGCCTGGCTTAGTGGCAGGTGTCCCTGCCTATGGCTGGGTGTTGGAACTTGGTGATCTCCCAGGGCCCTTCCAACTGAAATCACTCTATGATTCCATGAACTCTGGGTTGATCACTTTTTAGATGCCACTGTACTGGCCTCCTCCAGGGATCAGAAGGGGCTCTGTGGGACAGAGCCAGCCCATGGGGGAAAGTGCCAAAGGAAGGCTGGGAAAGAAGACAATGATTAGTGATGAATTAAAGGAGTCATCAAACATGCAAAAGTATCTCACCAAATATTTCACCCATTCTAAGGCATCCAGAAAACAGACACTGAAAGTCACACCCTCTATAAATGTGTACAATTCACAGGCCCTGGTAAAAAAAAAATTGTCCTCTTTCATCCCACGCCACGAAGGCACATGATTGTCTGCTTTCACAAAAGAATTTATAATACATGGATGCTGTGCATATGCAATGCATAATGTTCTGGGATCAGGTAACCCTTACTTGAAGGTAAAAATTAGATGCAGATGCATTCTGAGCTCTGTATGAAAGAGTTTGGAAAACTGCCTAAATCTAAGCTAACCTACCAAGTCTTCAACATGTAGTGGCGTCCTTTGTCACCCTGCAGGTGTTGAAACTGTGAAAAGGTGTCAACACCAGGAGGACTGAAGCCTGTTCCTTCTTGTGGACCTGATTCTGGAGCTTTATATTGAAATATTTGATTTAAAATAGGATTATACATTATTCAGGGATCAGCTAAATTATTCTTTTGACATTGCTGATTTGTTTGCTTTTTTTTTTTACATTGAAATTTGGAGGGGCAAAGCATGGTGCTTGGAAAATTAGGAAATGTGTATAAAATTACAGAGCAGTAACTCCGTAGGGAAAATGTTTACTCTGCAGGCTTTTCTCTTTAAAACACAACTGCTTTAAAGCATTGCATTAAATTCTAATGTGTGTGTATTTAAAGAATGCACAATATATGGGAGAAAAAGACATGAAGTGCATAAGGTGGGGCTGCTGTGGCTAAGCACTACTTCTAGCAGAACACTACAGCAGTGCCATGAAATCCTACGTAAGTGGTCAGAACATAAGTAAGAGCTGCCTGTGGGTAGTCCCAACCTATTCACAAGCCCTTTTGAACCATTTTCCTACTTTTTTAAATACTGTTTTTGGCAAACATTTGATACTTGAAATACAAAATGCATGAGTCACCTACTGAGATGGGCACAGTATGTGGTTCATTGAATTTAGCTAAATTGTGAGTAATCTATCAATAGTCCTCATAGTGAACATACTTGTAATAATTTCACACATTACAAACAAGAGTAGGTATGATTTTTCAAGATTTTTTTCCAAGCATTTTTCACTGTAAATTTTTACTTTTTTTTTACTATGCTCCATTTATTGTTGTGGAAAATTGCTAACTTTTTAGTGATGGAGGATAAAAAGAAAAGGTAGCTTATTGCTCGTCAGTTTAAACTACAAAACAGAGAGGCAAAACCTGACATATTACAAAATACTGTCTTACAAAGCAAAGTCCTCAACAAGAGATTGAATGAATACAGATTCTTATACAGCTATTGAGATTTATTCTTCTGCCAGCATACCAATTTCTCTTGAGATAAGTAATTTTAAAATTCAGAGGCAGCAGTTCTGAAGCAGAGAGCGGCAAATTACTACAGATTCTGACTCACCAAGAGCATGGTCAAGTTTCTGTGGTTTTTTTGGGTTTGGGGTTTTTGTGCGTGTGTGCAGGTTGCACTTTTTTTAAAAGAGGGAAACTAGTAAGTAGACAGAGACAAAAAAAAAAGAAAAAAAGAAAAAAAAAGAGGTGAAAAGTATGGGCATATAAAATAGCATCATAACTGGTTTGTTGGTTTGTTGGATACAGAGAATTCTGAATTGCTGCAGAGAAACATGAACATCCAGGCATAAAATCTTTGAGCAGCTTTTTAAACAAATTCCTTAGAGGAACAGGAATTCAGCATCCCTATGATGAAAATGAGGGGGCGGCCAGTCCCCAAATACTTAAGCGCCAGCCTCTGATAAGAATCTTTCCCTGAATGTTTTTCATGAGTGTGAATGATTATACGTGCATTTATGTTAGTCCCTGAAGTTGTTATTTCAGTAGCTGAGACTTGGGAGCCGTGAACTCCCGTGCTCGCAGAAACCGGCCCCTGCTCGGCTCTCTCCTCTTGCGCTGTGTGTTTTACTCTCGAGAAGATCAGCGGGATGCGGGAACATCCCGTGCGCGACCCTGACGATGGAATAATGGTCTATTATGACAAACTATGACTAAATCCCTTCGAAATTATACTTTCCATGAAAAAAAAAGGTAATAATTAAAAACACATACTTGTCTCCTGCCTTAGCCCTGGCATTTCCAGCGACGCGCTGCCGAGTCACCTTTAGCAGCTTTCCTACTCTTTTGGCCCGCAAGGTGCCGGACGCCTCAAAGGCGGTGCTGCTGGCGGAGCCGGGGCCGCGGGGCTGCCCGGGCCTCCCCGCGCCTCCCCAGCTTCCATGGGCTGCCCGGTGCTTCCCGGGGCTCCCCAGCTTCCATGGGCTGCCCGCGGCCGCCCGGGGCTCTCCAGCCTCCCGGGGCCGCCCGGCTGCCGGTGCTCTGCGGAGGAGGGACAGAGGCCCGACGGCGCCACCCGCCGCTCCCGCCAGATGGCGCCCTTGCACAAGGGACACGGCGGCGCGAGGCGCGGCGGCGGGAGCGGAACGGGCCGCAAGAACGGGTGTGCCCCGGGGGGAGCGGAACGGGTGTCCCCCGGAGAGAGTGGGTGTCCCCCCGAGGGAGCGGAACGGATGTGCCTCAGAGGGAGCGGAACGGGTGTACCCCGGGGGGAGCGGAACGGGTGTCCCTCGGAGGGAGCGGGACGGGTGTCCCTCGGAGGGAGCGGGACGGGTGTCCCTCGGAGGGAGCGGGAGTTCCTGCCGCTGCCAGGTGCGGTGGCGGTGCGTGCCCAAGCCGGTCGCGGAGCAAGGACCCGCCGTTTCCCTTCCGCGGCTTTAGCGCCTCCAAACTCTGCGCCCCCGCCTTTGGCCGCGGCACCGCCGGGCTCTGCGCTACGGCCGTACAGGGCTCGCTGCTCGTCCGGCCTCCGCCGCCCGGCACTCGGCTTCCCGTTCCGAAAGTACGGAATACCTGTCAGCGTGGCTGTGGTACATCAATGGGAAATGCAGGAGTGTGTGAGGTGTGCTCACCGGGCGACACCTCTGCACACACCCCGTGTCCCGTTGCTCATGTGGTACTTCTTGTTCAACAAATTGCATGAAAATTAAATCTTGTAGTCGCTGTTAAAGATGTCATTATCCATTGGTGAAATTTCCTGCCCAGAATATTCCTACTGAATTGCTAGTGCTTCAAATGCTTTCTCTTTACAAGTTCTGGTTATGAGTCAAATAAATCACAAGTTGTTTGGTGTTTTGTGGTTGTTTTGCTTTTGGCTTTGTTTCCTTTATGAATGAATAAGTACTTGACATGTATGTACACATTAATATCTGTGCAATCCAATGACAGAGAAACTCAGGCAAATGTGGCTATTCCTGCTTGTCCCCCAGCCACCAGCCTCAGAACCAGAATGTAGTCTAAGTATATGGAAGAAAAGTAACATGAACTTTTCCCACCTTGTTTTTTATTTAGCCTCTTCTTTGACTATCCTCATGAGTCATGCATTTTTTGGGCACAAATTACCATCTGGACAAAATGCTTTACCTGATTTGCTAAACAGCATGAAGATCCCAGGGGAGGTGAAGATGGCACTGGGACATGGAACACCATAGTTAGACAAGCTGTTTGAAAAACTCCATTTTAAGAATTGGGTGACACTTGCTTTTATATTTGTAGGTTTCAGCTTTTGAATGCTTCTTTCTTATTTCACACTGTGTATGGGTTACAATGAAGTAAAGCTTTAGAAGACAGAAAATTGTTTTCTGCTAAGTCTTAGCAAGTGGCTAAATCAAAACCATAAATTGCAAATATCAGAGTGTTAAAGGTCTCCTTAACAGCTCTCTTGTTAACTTAGGTGATTTATGTCAGTAATTAAGATCCTGGCTGACAAAAATTTTTGAATTGCATGTTGTGGAAAACAGGAGAGGACAGACATGGGAACAATTAAGGAAACTATGGCAACAAAGGGCTCAGTAGCTCTATACAGGTAAGAAATGCAAGAAATGTATTTGGTAGAGAAAGAGGCTTAGGAAAAGAAAACTCTGCAGCTGTAGGGAACCAGGGAAGGAATTAATACCTGATAGATAAGACCAAGAGACAAAAGATCATCTCTGCTTAGGGTAATTACTAAGAAAACTTAATTCAACATCTCTTTCCCACTCAGGGGTGGTATCTGCATTGTCTCATGTGTATCATGAAAACTGTAAAGAATGAATGCTTAGTTACATTGCTGGTCAGAATATCAGAGAAAAGAGGTCAAGGAATCAGTACCAATGCTCCAGTTTTTCCCGGATGTATGGTACAAAATAAAAAATTAAAAATTGTATATATATATATATATATAG